AGCTCAAGCCTTCTATGATGAACTACCTCTACATCCTTCTTGGTTTCTTGTTATAATTTTGCACAACTCTGTTAATGAACTTCTCAAATGCAATGCGTTCATCTTCAGTGACTTTTTGTGTGTCCGGTACTTCCATTCCTTCAATTGATATGCTTATTAGTTCATTCACATGATCAGGCAGAAGGCAACTTCTTTCCGAACACAAAATTCTATTCAATGATGAAAAAGAACATTCAGCTGTAGCTATTGTGACAGGGAGTAGCAAGAGATGAATTTCTACTTCTTTCATCCCAGGAAACATAGCACAAAGATCCAGTCGAGCCACTAGAATTGATAAAATAGAAGTTGAAGTCAAATCTTCATTCATTCGTCGTATGATATTCCACTCTGTGTTCAAATTCTCTATTCTGTCCGGAGCACAGGGCAGCCCCATTGCCAGTATTGCCTCACTCCACTCAAGTGTCGGTGTTTTATAGGACAGGCATCTGTAAAAGCTACGTAGACGTTGAGCAGAATCTAGAAGTCGCTGTTGTAGATTTTTAAGAATCAAGTCTGTGTATTTTTTCAGTTGTCTTAAACACTTCTTGTCCTCTTCACTTAAGGATTCAATATAAATGCCTTCATTAGTCAACTTCTGGACTGAAATCTTTGATTACCTGTTCTGTTCATTCCCTCTGAAGCGCCTGGCCTTGACCACTGTCAGAAGACAGGATTCCGGGCTATATGGACCACTAGAATGACCCAGTATGACCATTCTTATGAAAAAATTAATTATAATAAAAATGTTTAGTACAGAAACTCCCCAACATAATGACCTCTCAAGATAGCAACAATGTGAGATAACCTTGGCAAATAATGCATTTAAAAATCTTGGCCTACTAGGAAACACATTTATAAAAGTTTCCATTCCCAGTCACAAATCTAGCATTCTGGAGCAAAGTCACTAAAATATAGTCCAGCAAACAATTGTTTATTTAATGTGCCCCTCATTTTTCCCTCCACCTCACCCCACTCACCAGTGTTGTCCTTGGTCAGTGGAGACTCAGAGTTCAGAGGTGTTTTCACGTGAGTACACCTCCCAGGTGGGAGGGCAAGAAGGCACCTTGCTTGTTCCTCCAGCTGCTCACTGTTCGCTCTGGCCACTGTTGTTCGTTGTGCCACCGTTTACTCCATCGCTCTGTTGCCAATGGCCTTGCGCCGTCACCTTCTGCTGCCACCTGCCACTGTGACCTCTGCAAGTTGGTCTCTTGAGGTTCCACCTAGCTGTCAGTGATTTCAGCTGAACTCTCAGTAGGGGAACCTCCTTGCTAGTGCACTCTGTGCTGTCTTTTACACAAAAATACTGTACCCGCAGGAACACTGTCCCCACTGCAGGACTAAGCACTTAGACCTGATTATCAGTGATTTCAGCTATAGTGGTCACTTAACAAAACAAAAGACTATATATGGAGCCTAATCAGCTCTGTCTTTAAATAGTGGAGAGGTCAAATAGTACTTGTGACTCAGACAGACCATCAAGCAAAACACCTGTCCCCGCCCTCTCTCTTGATGCCCTCAATCAGTACAGGTTGGCTGCATCTACACTGGCGGGTTCTCATGCAAAAACTCTGGCATGTGCTTTTGCGCAAGAGGGCATGTGCTTTTCCACAAGAGATATGTGCAAGAGCATCCAAGCCATTTTAACCATCGGGCTTTCTTGCACAAGAAGTTCATGTTGCCTGTCTACACTGGCCTTTTCTGCAAGAACAGTTGCACAAAAGGGTTATTCCTGAGCAGAAGTGTCAGAGTTCTGGCGCAATAAGCCCTGATTTCATACATTAGATCGTCAGTTTACTTACGCAAAAACACGTGGCCAGTGTAGACACAGCCAGGCTGCTCCCACAGGGTACTCTGGCCCATCACCAGCAGGAGCTGCTCCAGCCCATCCAGTATAGGCAGTGCCTGTAGTTGGGAGGGGAGAAAGAGGTAGGGTGGTAGGCAGAGGCTGCTTTGGCTAAGCGGTATTATTTTCCAGATATATTTTTTAAAAAGTTTCGGTCCAAATTTCTTCTAAATTACAATTTTCAATTCAGAAAATGTTTTTTCAATAGAGGAAAAGCTGTGTGCTGAAAAACTGTATGGGACCTAGCTGAATGTGCATTACCTAACTTCTCAGTAACAGATTTTAGGGTGTAATTCAGCCCAAGTTGAAAATATTTAAAATTGAAGTGTTATAAATGTTTCCATTTTTTTCGGTGCTTTTTTTTAAAAAAAAGCACAGTAAAATATCTTTGGATGTAGCTGTAGCTTCTGGCGCAAAAAGCCATGATTTTATACATTAGAACGTCAGTTTACTTGCGCAAGAACATGTGGCCAGTCTAGACAGGCAGCAAGGTTTTGCGCAAGAAAAGGATCACACCCGTGTAGACACAGCCGTTAAGTACAGTACTACTGCCATTTATTCATACAATAAGAACAACAACATTCCACCCCCCACCCCCTCGCATGCAAGTGATTTGTAACCCAACCCCAGCCAAAATCTATCATTTGGGCAACACAGCTCTGTTTGCTGGATACCTAGGTAGCTTAGGTGTGAATGTAAATACAATCTGGTCCTGAAGCTCTTACCCCCCTAGCTCCCAGTTCATCACTAGCTGTCAGGGAGAGCTCATTTTAACTTTGCTTACAAATCATAATTTGAAATTATTAGGTTGGCCAACGTCACCAAAATGAATGCACTGATATTGTCATAAAAAACAACAGCTGTATAAGGAAGCTAGTCTATGTTCATACTTTTCAAATCTATGAGGGTATGTCCACACAGCAAAATTATTTCTAAGTAAGGGCTGTTATTTCGAAATAACTTTCCCAGTATCTACACAGCCAAACTGCTATTTCGAAATAAATTCGAAATATCGGAGCGCTTATTTCAAATTTGGTAAACCTCATTCTACGAGGAATAAGGCCAAATTTGAAATAGCTATTTTGAAATAAGTGCTGTGTAGACACTTAAACGAAATAGGGGGCCTGCAGCCTTTCTAGGCTATGTCTAGACTACATGCCTCTGTTGGCAGAGGCATGTAAAATAGGCTACCCGACATTTCATGAGGCATAAGGGAGCAGTCGACAAAGGCTTCCTCTGTCGACCAATCCACGTCTTGACTGCCGCACTGTGCCAACAATCAGGTGAGCCGGCACAGCGCGGCAGGCCATTTTATTTTTATGAAAATGTAGACACTTAATTCAAAATAGGGGGTCTCCAGCCCTTCCCAGGGAGCCCTGGAGGCCATTCTGGGTACAACCAGGAAAACTTATTCTCCTCTCCCACAGCCCCAGAGCCATTAAAGGGGTAGATCCTGGCCGCAGTGCCTGTGCCAGCTCCAAGCTTGCCAGCCCAGAGCCAGCAGTGGCCACCAGGGCCCCTGACCCAGTGGCCCCAAAACATGATCCAGCAAGCCACTGGCAGCCAGACCTCCACCACTCCCCAGGAGCAGTCTGCCAGCTCCCAGGAGCCTGACAGGGGCTGGAGAAGGCGGGCGCCTTCCTGGTCCAGGGTGGAGATAACGGAACTTATTCAGATTTTGGGGGGATGCCCCCAACGTCCATGATCTCTGCACGAGATGGAGGAATGTGATTGTCTATGGCAGGATAGCTGCCAGCCTGGCCACCAAAGGCCAGATGGGAACCTAGGAGCAGGTTGGCATGAAAGTCAAGTTGGTCCGGTGAGACGACCCCAACCCCTGAGCCCTGAGTTTCCCCTCCCCCTTCTTCCCTTAGCTTCCCCCTTCCAGCTCCCTTCTCCCAGGTTTCCCTCTCCCACCCTTTCTCCTCCCCTCTCTCACCTCCTTTCCCCAGTCTCACCAGAGTTTCATTCCCCCCAGTTTTGTTAAATAAAGACAGATTGTGTTTATGAAAAAACGTGTATTTTATTTTACATCAGGAAGGGAGGGGTGGGGGAGTTAAGTGGAAGGATGTGAGGGCAGAATGAGGCACAAGTCCCCAGTGGGGTAGACCAGGGAGACTCTTAGTGCTCCTCAGGCTGGAAGTTCTCCCACAGGGCCTCCTGGATACTGACAGCCCCCGATGGACCTCCCCGATGGCAGCCTGCAGAAAGTGCAGCCAGGCTCACAGCAACACATCCAAGAGAAGCACCAGAGTGCCCAGGGGCAGCTCCGGCTCCATGTTGCAGAATACTGTGGTGTCCCAAGTGAGGGCAACCAGAGCACGCAGAGACAAAATGCTCTGTTGTCCCTCATCGAGGTAGGCAAGCAAGCAGGGAAACCTGGGAATCGGCTTTCCAGGGGGGTCCCTTTAAGCACAGGCATCAGATAGCCTCAGGCAGCAGCCGCACAAAGTAAATCCTGACCTGACGCCCTGCCAGACCTGGGTCCAGCCAGCCTTAAATGCAATTCAGCATCCACTCACTGTGGACGTGCTATTTCGAAATAGCAAAACGCTATTTCGAAATGCATTGTGTGTGTAGACACGTTATTTTGAAATAAGCTATTTCGAATTAACTATTTCGAAATAATGCTGTAGTGTAGACATACCCTTATACTTTTTCAGATACACATCACATCATACACTGTATATGCTTTTAAAGTGTGTATTAATGTTTCAATTTCAATTCAAATTTGCAAACAATCACTAAATTGGCATGTCACTAGTTCACAAAACTGCGGGGGGGTGAGGGGAAATTCAGGGGGGTATATACCCCCATGGAGGGGGTGTAAGGAAATCCCTGCAGCTGGTGCAGCTGGCTGTGGGGGACACAAGCAGTTTGCCCTGGGGCAGCTGTTTAAGAGTCAGCCACTGCAGAAATCATGGAAAGTCTCAGACTCTGTGAATAACTTACAGCTTTATTTATAACCCTGGCCTACATTTTCAGAAAATGACTGGGGGCCCAACTTCAGGTTCCTTTTTAAAGGGCCTTGATTTTTTTCAGAGGCAGAGTACATGGGTAGTACTACTATAAAATATGTTTTCCTGAACATTTCCTCTTTGTTTGATCCTTTGTCTAGGTGGATTTTTCAAATAAGAGGAGGTGTCTGGGATTTTTGCAAGCAGATGTTGTAAAATGTTCACAAACAGCCCCAATTTGGTCCCCCTCTCCTACATCTGCATCTGGTGCATCCCACCCACCCAGATTCTGGCACTGGGGAGGAGGAGAGGCAGGAAGGCTCTGACTGACAGCTGTAACTGCATCCTGGGCCTGCATTAGCCACTCTGTCACTGACTGGGGATGACACTCTCCCACCTCAAGAGGGAGGCTACAGATTTCCTGCTCTTCATTGTGTCCTCTTTTTGGGAATATGAAATATGCTAACCCTATACTCAGGGCTTTCTGAAAATCAGGTCCCTATTTAAAGTGTCTCAAATTGGGCTCCCATCCATGACTCTGAAAATGTAAACTGCGAAGTTGAATCTAGATTTCAGATGAACTCTATCACAGTGCTAAAGCCAACATTCAGGAGTCTAGATTAGTTCTGAAGGTATCCATTATTGCCAACTCTTTTGTCTTATTGCAAGGTTTGTGAAAGCGGATGTGTTTTGTAAACCCCCAGATCCTGGAGTCATGGGATATGAGATTCTTGATTTCTCTCCCCACTCCTATCCCCTAAAAGAAAAAAAAATCTAAAAATTCTAGTCTGCATGGTTGCAGAGTAAAGTTTGAAACATAACACAGCAGAGGAAACTGGTGAAGGAGGGTGAGCAGGGGTACCAGCCACATGCCATCCCCTCCCAGCCTGGGGAATGGCTGAGACAACTCTCCTCCACCTCAGGTCCCACCTCTCCCCATCTCTGCTCCACCTCTTTCCACTCCCTTGAGTGGAGCTTCAGAGAATAGCAGGGGCCGTTCTCTCCCCACCCCACCTCCCACACACAGCAGCAGCAGAGAGGCAAGTGGAGCAATGTGGCCCCAGCTCACTTTTTTCCTCCCACCCCATCTCTCTGCTTCCCAGCAGTCAGTGTGGAGCAATGCCCCTCCTCCCCCCATAAGCAATGTGGCCAGAGAAGCACACATAGCAAGCTGGGGGCACTGCTCTGCTTGCCCCACTGCTGGCGATGAGCATGACAGGTGGCGGAGCCCTGCTGCGGGCACTAGACCCACCCCCTGCTAGTTTTCCCATTGGCTACTAGCTGGCCATTTTCCCCTCCTACCCACAGTGTTTGGGGAGACATGCCATGTACAGACGGCTGCTGGAGCTGAAGCAGCCAGCAGTTTGCAGCCTAGCACTGGTCCATTGGGAACCACTGGGGCAGGGAGCTCACTGGCGCCGCCCCCACCCCTAAGGATGATCAAATAGTTGTGTAGCCATTAAAATTTGATGCGGTTACACGATTATTCAATTACACGCTAACATACCTAGAAGCAGACCCAGAACTGATCTCTTCAGGACCCTACAGTACAGGCAGTCCCCGAGTTACGCGGATCCGAGTTATGTCGGATCTGCAGTTACGAACGGGGCCCGTCTCCCTGGTCTCCAGCAGACCAGGGAGAGGAAGCAAAGCGGCGGAGCACGCGGGCAGCGGACAGCCCAGACACGTCTGGGCTGTCCGTTGCCCGTGTGCTCCTTGGCTTTGCTCTGCTTTGCTCCCCGTCTCCCTGGGAGCAAAGCGGGAGCAAAGCGGCTGTCCGCTGCCCACGTGTTCCACCACTTTGCTCCCCGTCCCCCTGGTCTGCAGACCAGGGAGACAGGGAGCAAAGCAGAGCAAAGCCGTGGAGCCCGCGGGCAGCAGGACAGCCACGGCCTGTCTGGGCTGGCCCGCTGCCCCCGTGCCCCGCGGCTT